ATGCCTGGCCCCTGAACCCCAATGCTACCCCACCTCCAGCCACCCTGACCTGCAACCAGGTAGTACCGAGCCCGGCAACCCCAGGACCAGCCAGAGTGGTGTCAGGTGCTCACCTGTGCTCGCTGCAGAGGGTTCTAAATCTAACACAGGTAACAGGGAAACAGTGGCTGGAGTGACTCCCACAGGTTGCTAAGGCCAAGTGCCTGCCAAACCCAGTTGCTAGGCTGGAGTGGACTCTGCCCACCAGCAGCCAAACCACATTAACCAGGAGGCAGAGGGTGGGCACCTAGAAGGTAACCTGTAGTCTCTCCGCCAGGCTGTAATAGCAAGTTAGACCTAAATGTCCAGGAGCAGGGGCCTTGCACAATGCATGGTTTATTCACATGGTAGAATACCATGACATCATTTCAAATGCTACAAAAGAACATTTAATGACTAAAGAAATGGTTGCAATATATGAAGAGAAAGCCTTCAGAACAGTAATAAAAACATGGTTGTAAAAAAAAAATTTATATATAATTATTTATGTATATGTATTTTTTTTTCAAGTTTTTTTTCATATGGTGCATGTGCTCTCTGGAGAGGCAAAGAGAGGGGGAAAGTGAGAAGTCACCCACCTGGGGGGATGGCCACACGGCAATCCCTTCTCCTCCATTCTCCTCTCGGGATTTTGGGTACACACACACATGCCTAGTAGTGTTTTTCAGGCTGCAGGGTCTGGGACACAAGCTGTAGAGTTGGCCATGTGGGATCCAGTGCCTAAACCACCATGCTACTTGCTGGCCCCTTTATCTAATTTTTTTAAAGTGTACTTCTTCTATAAAAGAGACAGAGAGTTGGAGAGAGAGAGAGAGTCATTCCCAAAAGGTCCTCACACCACCTACCCCATCTCAGCCAGTCAGAACCATAACCATGTGTGCCTAGCGAGCCCAAGGAGGTCCCAGGATGTAAACCCAGGGCCTTTCCTACGTGGGGACAGTTGTACCGCTGTACCACTGCTCAGCCCCCTTTTTTATGTGTAACCTAGAGAGAGCCAGGTCTGTCTCCAGAATCCAAATGCTGACCTTTGATGGTTTATACCTAGGTTTATACAAAGAGCTCCCCTAAGGCTAAGCTTTCTCAGTTCCAGCCTCCCAGCACTTGGAAGTAACTCTTCTGGATGGGAAGTAATGTGATGTGAAACACACAAAAATGTTATGTTCCTGAGAATCCTTACACACTCTCCTTATCCTTATTCAAATTCAAAAGGCAAGAGGATCATCACATTTTTTCTCCTTTCTTACACTGGCTAAGGTCAGAGTGGCTATTTCCATAACCAACTATCAAAATGGCATCCTTCTTACAGGATCCTCAGGAACAAGAAGTAGTGCACCCTTCCTCAATTTTTTTTTTAGAGGTTTTTTTGCCTTAGGGCATGTGCACTCGCCAGGGAGAGAGACACCCCAATCCCTCTCCTCCGTTCTCGTCCCAGGATCTTGGGCATGCATGCACATGGGTCCAGCCTGAGTGTCAAGCCACAGGGTCTGGGACTCAAACGTGGTCAGCCATGTGGGAATCCAGTGATGTAAATGCTACATCATCTGCTGGCCCTCCGATTTCATCTTCTACCTTTGTGAATCTGCACACACTATGACTTACAGGGATATTTCTACAGGAGGTCTTGGTGGGCAGCAGGAGAGGGCAAGGAGTCTGGCACCTAACACAGCCATTTTCACTCAAGATGTCACAGGAGGGTCAAGCCTCCTCACAGATTGGTGTTCAATCAGCTATTCGCACATATCCCAAGGATGGTAAAAAGACCATCTTCTAGACAAACAGAAGAGAAGTTAACGATCACCTTGGGGCTATGGGATCAAGTAGTCTCACTGTGGCCAATCTGACACCTGCCCCCAGACTGTCAATCTGCACACCCAGTCAGTGGTGAGAGGTGACTGAAAGTCTAGCAGTAGCAACCTGGAGAGTTAAGCAGCCATGCTGCCAAAAACCCATTTACCTTTGACATACACTGACAGAAGTAAAAATATTTATTTTTTCAATCTTAAAAATCTGGTCCCACAAAAAGAGTAACACTTTTTTCAGTTCATGGTCTTCACCCTTCAAAAAAGAAATCTTTCCACTGAGAGGTAAGGTAAGTCAATAAAAGGCATTTCAGAGGTACACTCAAATAAAAGATTTCTTGTAAACCAGCAGTCCAGGCAGCCCTGGACTTCCAGCTTACTGAACTTCTGTCTATCACAGTCCCTGAAGAAAAGCAAGCAAGAGGTTGTCTGCAGATAAGGCACTTCGGAAACCACCACAGAGAAAACACGAGTCCACCGGGAACTGCACTGTAAATCCATGAGCCCGGGGAGCTGCCACGGGCAAGAAGGCTGACCCCCATCCACCTCCACACTTTCACCTTCAGGCCACCAGCCTTGGCCCTGCATGTTGCACCTGGCCTGAAGACATGGAAACCAAGCAATTGGGCAGAGATGAACACTGCTTGCTGCCTGAATTTCGGACCGGCGGGCAGACGGCAAGGAATGCCTTCAGAGGCCCCTGCTTCAGCACACTGTGGGAGCAGTCCTCTTTGCAAAGACAGCGAGTTAATAGCACATCAGCAAAGCCAAATATTAATATTGTTAAAGAGCTGCTTAATTCTTCCAATTTCCCTGTTGGTTGTCTGCTCAAGCTGGAGCCTGTAAACCCACTAGAAATCAGGAAGAAATCCTTCCTATGGAAGGCACCCTGACTGAAGTGGCTACAGCCAACGGAGTGCAGAGAGCCCCTGCCAACCAGTGATCACGTGGCACCTGTAAACCCTGAGAGAGGCTGATCTGAATCCAGGCAGCAAACTCGACCCGGTCTTTTGCTTTGGGGGGCTTGTGTTTAATCGGGTTATTGTGATGGAAGAAATCTGAGTCTCTCTCAGTCCAAAGGACAGACGGCGCTGAAGATCCGGGAACTTTTCCTCTCCTGTGTCCCAGCTGCATACGTGAATCCCAGGAATCAGTGGACAAGGGGCCGATTTACTCTCTAACATGCCCAGTCTGTCAGGAGAGCCCAGCAAGGAGGAGAGCAGACAGTCATGCTCCAAACAGGGCCAGCCAAGGAGTGCTTCATCCTCCTTCCTTTGTCCCAAATGAGGCGGCTTCTTCTGGCAGTTGTACCAGGAAAGCTGTGCTCGGGTCAGAATTGGACCCAGCCTGTGCCCGGCTCAGTTTGGTTAGGAGGAGATCTGTAAAGGGAAGACAGAAAGGGGTGGGGGAGTTCAGCTGTTTAAAAAGACAAAGCAGACAGAAGTTTGCTTTTCTCTGGGCAGAAAGAGCTCTAAGTCAGTCCTTAAATGTTCTAGAGCAATGGTCGGCCAAATCTGGCCCTGAGTTTAAGAGATAGTAGAGGGGGAAGCTGTGGGGTGGTGTTTAAGGCACTGCACTCCCACATGGCTGACCGTAGGTCGAGTCCCAGACCTGGTGCCTTGCTTTCTCACTTTTCCTTTCTTTCTCTGTCTCTCTCTGGTCAAAATTAAAAATTAATAAAATTAAATTATTTTTAAAAATAATTAATAGAAACCACTTATAAAAGAGTCCTTAACTAGTTGTATCATGCCTCTGTCTTTATAAAGTTTTATTGATACACAGCTATGCCCATTTGTTTATATAATGTCTATGCTTGTTTTCCTGCTTCAACAGCAAAAAAAAACAGACATAGCTAGACAGAGACCATGCACCCTGAACAGTCTAAACTATTTGCTACCTGGTCTTTCATGAAAAACACGCTGACCCTAGTCCTAGAACCTGTCCATATAAATAATGATGCAATAGGAATTCAACATCTTTTCACCATGACCCCAAGAAGGCTTCAGATCTATGGAGCTGGAGAAAGCTTTACTCCTCGCCTCAGAGGTCCTAGGAATGGCAAAGACTAGAACCTGGGTCTTAACTCTCAGTCCAGTGTTCTGGGGTAGCTGGGGACAGGGGGAAAGGAAGAACCTGAAACAAGTTACAGTACCACCTAGAGGTGGTCCAGACATTTGAAACAAGTGACAGGCCACCTGGCAGTGGAGAGCAGCAGAAAGCCTTCCTGCACCCAGAACAGGCGTTGTGGGGCTCTGCCCTGACTAGCCTGAAACATCCACTTTGGAGCCATCGCTTCCAACACCAGGAGGGAGGCGGGAGGAGTGATCGTCCCAAGTCCCACCACAGAATGTGGCTCTCCTTACCCTGTTGATTTGGTAAAGTCTCCCCAGACGTCGGCGGTTGCAGCAGTAGCAGGCTTGGGCTGTGGCCAGGACACAGTGGCACCTTCTTTTGATGTCCCCAGGTCCAACAGGTAGAGAAAAAAGAGGAGACAGGGAAGTCAGAGACCTCTCTTGTTTGTCTCAGTGACTATATCTCAGAGACCACGTGGCTGAGAAAGACATAAAGACATGCTTTTGGGCAACGGAATGCCAGTGAGCTGGCATATTTCCACCATCTTCTCACAGGCCCTTGAGGGTTCCTAGAAAATAAACAGAAAGCCACGCACAAGATGGAAGGAGACAGGCCAGCCCTGTGGCCTAGTGATTGAGAGCTGGATCCCACATAGCTTGAGGTTGTGGTTTAAATTCAGGCCTTGGTGGCATGTGTGCTCCAGATCCTGAGAGGATGGAGAAATGGAGGAAGAGGGATTGCTGAGTGACCACGTCCCACTTCTCCCTGTCTCTCTGGCAAACAAACATGCCCTCTGGCAAATACATTAAAAAAAAAAAAAAAGGCAAAAAAGGCAGAGGGAGGGATTTAAGATCACCTTCATAGGAAGCCTGCAGTCCAGTGTCTGGATAAACCAGCTAAGATTTATGTGCCAGGCATATGCCAACTCCCAGGCCCCAAGGTAGTGAGGGGTTGGGGAAAGTCTTCCAGAATTAACACAGAGGCTGACCCCTGCATTTCTTCACCAAGGAGGGTGGCATAATGGGGTCACAATGCTTGCTTTTGTGATTTTCTGGGACCTTCTCCAGTGCTGGCAACTGTCCCTTCTGAAGGCCCTGTGCCTGTTCTAACTAATTTTCTATTTCTAATCATTCTAGGTAGGGAGATCAGATAAAAGTAGGGCCTTCAGGACCAGTTGGCATAATGGCTATGTCTCTGGACTCCCATGTAGTTGACCGTGGTTCAAGTCCTGGACCCGGCAGCTTAAACGCATGTCAGGCGCGTGTGCATGCATGCCCAAGATCCTGAGAGGAGAATGGAGAAGGGATAGAGGTGTGGCCATCCCCCAGGTGATTTCTTGCTTTCTGTCTCTCTGTCTCTCTCTGTCTTTCTGGTGAGCACACACACACAAAACCTCTAAAAAAAGAGAAAAAAATTAGGGCCTTCAATGGTTTAGTTTTATAGTTTGTCAAGTACTTAATGTACAGTGTCTCATTTGAACCTTGCCATGGGCCCTACGGTAAGACAAGGCAGGATCAGCCATGTGTCCGTGCACAGATACTTAAGTTTCAGTTTTCCTACCTCTAAAATGGGACAATAACAACAACTACTTCATAGGGCTGGTGTAAGGGTGAAATGAGTTAATATATATGGAGTACTTAAAACAAGCCCAGCACATAGTGGCAGTAAGGACGATATTCATTCTGGGTGCTTGTTCTGGAAACTGCTGAGTGCTGTATGTGAATTAGCTCATTGTCTGACCCTCACATGAAACTATGTCATAGGTAGCATTACTGACCCCATCCAAAAGAAGAGAAAACTGAGGCACAAAGAAGATAACACACTGGTAAACTGGAATCGTAACTCGGTCTGGCTCTGGAGCACACAGTTAAGTGCTCAACGGATGTTAGTTATGTATGAGTTACCATCTGACACCATTTTCTGTGAAGACACGCTGACTGCCTGCGTCACACATCAGAACATAAGCCCTTGAGAGGAGGGGCTTCACGCTGTACTTGTGGCATCTCCAGTGCCTGGAACTCTAGCTGGCACATAGCTAGCACTCCACGTTACCTGTTAAAAATGCCATCAGCAGGGCCAGGAAGTGGCATAGTAGTAAAGGTGCTGGACTCACACATGGCCAACCGCAGTTCGAGTCTGGGACCCGGGGCTTGAAAATCAAACTGAGTATGTGTGCATGCATGCTCAAAATCCTAAGAGGCGAATAGAGATGGGATTGTGGCATGGCCATCCCCTCTGGGATGACTTCTCACTTTCTCTCTCTCCAGCAAGTGCATGGCACCCTATGGCAAAACCTAAAAAAAACCCCAAAAGACAAAAAACAGAAAAACAAAACAAACAAACAAAAAAAAACACCAGCAACTCAGCAACTGGGGGTGGGGGGGCCTAAGGCAGTGGCACACATACCAGCATGCAGACACCTGTCCCATCCCCTGTCAGTATCAGGGCAAGTGGGCCTCTGGCCCCACCGTGAGAAATTACACCTAGAGACTAACTCCCAGTACCAGGACAGGAGCTCCCAGACTGCTATTCCTGCCACTCTCCTGGAGGCTGGGACATTCCCACCCCAGGGCTGAGGTTTAAATCACAACCTCCAGATAGGGGGGTTAGCACGAGGGACTCTTAGGCCCAGTCTCCGTGGCACAGTCAACAGAGTGCCAGAGTACAGAGCTAGAAGCCATATGCCAACAGCAGCTTGAATCCCCAGGCATGTGCGTGCATGCCCAGAATCCTGGCGGGATAGCAGACTAGAGAAAGGGGATCTCAGAGTGACTGAGCCCTATGGAGGGTACGTTTCTCTTTCTCTCTTGTGCATGTGCATGAATGGGATAAAAAGAGCTAGCCTGTGGCCTGCTCGGTAAAGGAGCTGAATTCTACATGGCTGATGACAGGGTTGAAGTCCCAGACCTAGTGACTTGAAAAACATGCAGTACTTGGGAACCAGCAGTTAGTGTAATGGCTATGTCGCTGGACTCCCACGTAGTCGACCGCGGTTCACGTCCCGGACCCGGTGGCTTAAAACTCACGCCGGGCATGTGTGCGTGCGTGCCCAAGATCCTGAGAGGAGCATGGAGGAGAAGGGATTGTGGTGTGACCATCCTCCCTGGGGAGTGATTTCTCGCTTCTGTCTCTATGTCTCTCTCTGTCTGGCGAGCGCACACGCCAAAATTTTTTATTTATTTATTTATTTTATTTTATTTTAAATTTGACCAGAGAGGAAGAGAGAGAGAGAAAGCCAACCCCCAATTTTTTTTTGGAGAGACTTCTGCTTTAGGATGTGTGTGCTTACTGGAAAAATAGAGAGAGAGATAGAAAGCAAGAAGTTACCTCCCAGGGTGTACGGCCACACTGTAATCCTTTCTGAACCTCTTGGATTTGGGGCATGCATAAGCATGTGCCTGGTGTGAGTTTAGTGAATTTCAAGCCATCAGGTCCAGGACTAGAACTGTGGTCTGCCATGCCGGAGCCCAGAGCCTTAACCACTATACCACCTGCTGGTCTCCGACAAAATATTTTTATTTATTTATTTTTTTATTTTATTTTATTTTAAATTTGACCAGAGAGGAAGAGAGAGAGAGAAAGCCACCAGGTCCAGGACTTAAACCAAGGTCAGCCATGTGGGAGTCCGGCATCCTTAACCACTATGTCACCTGCCAGCTCCATGGCAATTTTTTTTTTTTTGGAGAGGTTTTCGCTATAGGGTGCATGCACTCGCCAGACAGACAGACAGAGACATAGAGACAGAAAGTGAGAAATCACCCCCCAGGGGAAATGGTCACGTCGCAATCCCTTCTTCTCCATTCTCCTCTCGGGATCTTGGGCATGCACGTACACACGCCCGATGTGAGTTTAAGCCCAGGTCTGGGATGCGAACCGCGGTCGACTACGTGGGAGTCCAGCAACATAGCCATTATGCTAACTGCTGGTTCCTGCAAAAAATGTTTTAAAAAAAGACTGGGAGGGGCCTTTAGGTGGCGTGGTAGTTAAGGGCGCTGGACTCCCACATGGCCGACTGCACTTCGGGTCCTGAACCTGGTGGCTTGCTTTCTCAGCCCCTCCCCCACTCTGTCTCTCTCTGGTCAAATTTAAATAAATAAAATAATTTAAAAAATAATAGGAATGGGAAAAAAAGAACCCTCCTTCCTGAATGTTGCCCCAAGAACCTGATGAGAGCCTTATGGAGAAGGTGGGCTGGTCTGGTGACAACTGTCCAGACTGGGGAAGACAGGGCACATCAAACTGGGCCAGGCAGGTAGCAAGGGGTAAAGGCAGAGGGAAAAGGCCAACATCCAGCATGTTCAAGCCTGCATGAGGCTCTAACTTTGGAATCCTGGGGTTTCCACAGTTAGCACAGCCTGCTGGGGGGCCTGCTCTCAGCTTCCTAGCACCTGCTGGCCTCACTGAGGAGCTCCCTCCAAACTAAAACGCCAATTTTATTTCCTATCATTCATCTTACCACACCCAGTTCCCTAAGTACACCAGTTATCTAAAAGCCAGAGCTTTGGGCCCAGTAGGCGGTGTGGTGGTTAAGCTGGCTAGATCCCACATGACATGTTCAACTGCATGGTTTGAGCCCCAGCCCCAATGGCCTGAAAAAACAAAATCCCAAGAGAAGAGGCTGTGGCATGGCTGCCCATTTGGAGGATGCTTTCTCTTTCTCTCTCTCTCTCTCTCTCTCTCTCTGTCTCTCCACCAAGCACATATACCCTATGGAAAACATAATATAGTATTACAACATAATATAAATAAATGTATGTATGTATGTATGTGTGCATCTCATTTGTGCTCTTCTCTCGGCTGAAATGCCAACCACTTCCACCCCAATCTCCTTCCTTCCAGGTCTAGCTCAATGCCACTTCTTCTATGATGCCTCTCCACCACACCAGCTGATCATGACTCAGGGCCCCATACATCTGGTCTTTGCCTGTGACAACCCCCCACAAGATGTGAGCACAGACCACATCTCTATCACCCACTTGCTCAATTCCCACTGGGCAACAACTGAGCACCAGAAACCTACATGCTGCTATTTTACAGTAACAAATGGGTTCTAGTCTCTGCCTATTCCAGGAGGGCAGATTTATTATTTATTTTTTAGATTTATTTATTTAGGGACCAGCAGATGTTGCAATGGTTACACCACTGGACTCCCACATAGTCGACAGTGGTTTGAGTCCCAAACCAGCAGCTTAAAACTCACACCGGGCATGTGTGTGTGCATGTCCAAAATCCCGAGAGGAGAATGGAAAAGAAACTGTGGCACGGCTATCCCCCCTAGGGGGGTGATTTCTCGCATTCTGTCTCTCTGGTGAGCACACGTCCCCTATAACAAAAATCTCTCTCTTAAAAAATTTAATTTTATTTATTATTTTTGCTATAGGGCACACACACTCACCAGAGGAAGAAACAGAGACAGGGAAAGTGTAAAAATAAGTTGCCAGCTGCCAGGTGCAGGACTCGAACCGTGGTCAGTCACATGGGAGTCCAGTGTCTTAACCACCATGCCACCTGCTGGCCCCTGTGGGCAGATCCTTGAAGGGGTAAGCAGAAGGTGTTAGGCGAACAGCTCATCTGATGGTGTGCAGGCTGAGCACTATGGTGTGCGACACATAGGTACTGAATGACATGTCAGTGTGCACGGAGGAGGGAAGTCACCAGGCACCAGCTGCCACAGAGAAAACCCAAAGGTACAGACTCAGCAGTCACCCCTGGGCACTGACCTGAACCAGCAGCAACTGTTGGCTGGATTAGGGACCCCCCAGCAGACAAGTGCTCCCCAGGTGGGGGGATCAGGGTAGAGGCTTTGCCCCCTGGGGGAGGAGGAAGCAGGCTTAGCCCTCCAGTACTAGCAGGCCGGGCTCGGGGAGTTCCAACAGCTCCTTCCTTCTTCTTTATGTTCTAGAGAGAAGAGAGGAATGCAAATTAGGCAATTCTGCTGGAGTCCCACTGCCATCGGAAAACCCCACGAGAGGAGCCAAGGTGACGCCCAGTATCTGTATGACAGAAAGATGGGTCTACACTGCTATGAGCTATATCTACTCCATCTCAATTCTGCATCTATCACACACACAGTTCTTAAACCCACCACCCAACTTCACTAACCATGGGGAAGTGCAAATCCAAACTACAACCACATGCCACCACACATCCATCAGAATGGCTACAATGTCGACTGTTGAGTCCCGATAAAAGGAACAACCAGAACACTCAAGCACTGCTAGCGGAAGTGTAGACTGGTAAAACTACTTTGAAAAATTATTTGAAAAAGAAAATCTATAAAGCTCAACGTAAGAACTGGCTTTTTGTTTTAAGAATTATTTAATTTTATGTATAGATTTTTTTTAATCTGACTGGAGTGAGACAGAGAGAAAAAGATACAGAAAGTGAGAAAGCAAGCTGTCAGATCCAGGACTTAACTGTAGTCATCCATGTGGGAGTCCAGCATCCCAACCCCACACCACCTGCTGGCCCCTACACAGGAAATTTTGACCCTGCAATTCCACTCCTAGGTATGAGAGGATTTTTAAAGTTCCTAGCAAATAGAATAAAAGTACATGTTTATTTCGGTGTTAAGATAATTTTGAACTCCATGCAGTTTTTTCATAATTCATAGTATGCACAAACTTCCTGAAGACACTCATATATACACAAAAAGACATTAACTCAAACATTCGCAGCGGCCCTGTTTGTAATAGTCCTAATCTGGAAACTGCCCTGATGTCCGTCCATCAGTAAAACAGATAAATAAATTGGGTACCTTCTCACAATGGTGATGAACATGCCACGCGCAACAAGAGCCATGGATGACTCACACCTATTTCACTGACTGAAAGACAGAAGTCACGGGCAGAAAACCACAAAGTGTAGGATCTGATTTGTGGAAGTTAAGGAAAAAAACAATCCAGTATTCGAAGGCAGAATAGAATGGTGGTTGCTCGGGGTAGCAGTTACAGAAAGGGAACAGCAGAGGGGTTCAGAGTGCTGACAACTTCCTGCTTCTTCATCTGGGTGCTGCAAGTCTACATGTTCATAAATGGTTTTTTAAAATTCACTGACTGAGACCAGATGCTATAATGGTTACATTGCTGGACTCCCATGCACTTGACTACAGTTTGAGTCCCGGGCCAGGCGGCTTGAAATTCACACGAGGCACATGTACATGCATACCCAGAATCCTGAGAGGAGAAGGGATTCCAGCATGGCCATCTGCCCTGGGAGGTGATTTCTCACTCTCAGTCTCTCTGGCGAGCACAGGCACCCTATAGCAAAAATCTCTTTAAAAAAATTTCATTGACTTTTGTACTTATGATCTGTGCACCTTCTTGTATGCATATTGCATGTATTTCAATAGGACATTAAACATTTTAAATGCTGAGCAGTAAGCATGAACCAGAAACCAGCAAGAACTATGGAGGTGAAGATGACAGTTTCCCACTTATAAGGAAGGCAGCAGCTTAATCAAATGGGTAAGATCAGCCTTCACGTTGAAAGACCTCACCTCAACTCTGGGCCTTACCCTCTCAAAGTCTCAATTTCCTTGTCTTCTAGAGGCAAGGGGGAGCATGTTAATTCACAAGAAAAATGCCTGAAAACACTACCTGGCCCATAGCCGACGCTCATTAAATGTTAGTTTCCTCCAAGCAAGAGAAAGAATCACATCCCAACCAGTCCAGTGGATTGGACTTGGATTTTCACTTAAGGGCCTGCTGGCCAACTTCAAGGTCCCAAATCATCATCAGCATGAAGCAGAAAAGAGAAAGAGTTGGTAAGTAAAGAGGAAAAGCATTATTTCAGAGTTACAACATTTCTTCAAAGCACATATCTACTGGGTCCTTGGTCCACCCCAATCAGGACTCCAACTCCGTCTCCTGACTCTACCTCTGCAGCCAGGTAAAGGCCAAGTGTTGGTAACCCAGCCCACCCCAACCTGTTCCTATGCAAGAGGAACTGACAGGGAAGCCAGACGCAGAGCAACCAGAACACAGACACAGGGAGCCAGGACACCATCACCAGCAGAGGCTGCCCATGCTCTCAGTGCCTACCTCAACGCCCTCCTGCCAGAGCTGTCCCAAATATTCCTTACTCAGGCACAAGGCCAAGAAAAGCCTGGGGTGAGCACACTGACCCCTCCTGACCCACTCTACCAACCAGGACAGAAACACCAGCTCCCAACGACTGAAGCTTTTTTCAACCCAGAGGCTTTACACACACCGTTCCCACTGCATGAACCACACTTTGATCCGTTTTTCTTTGCCTGGAGGTTGCTTTTTCCAGGGGGCATTCCTTGGTCCCCTAATTATAGGCTGCAAGGCCTTCCTCTGGGTGCCCGCAGCACCTAGAGCACCTCTTGGTGGCAGAACCTTTCCAGCCGTGTTGTAGTCACATCTACGTGCCCATCTCGGCTCCGCTCGGAGCTCCAGGACAACAGAGGCCTCTTGCTCATCTCCGGTACAATACCTGGCACAAGGCAGCTGCTCAATAAACACCGGCTGAGCTGATGGACTGAGCTGTGAAACAAGAGTGGGGGGCTCTGGGCTAGTTCAGTGGCCAAAAATACCAGGTGACCACGGCCAACACAGGCAAGCAAGGGTGCGACTCACTGCGATGTTGAGCTTGATGGTCTGGCCCTCCTTGAAGCCTAGGTCCAATTTGGGGCTTTGGTCTGGATTCTGGGCCTGTTTTGCAAATTCACACTGCTGCTTCACCCACCTGGGAGAGAAAAACAAGAAAGAGGTGGGGAAGGAAAAGAACGTGGCCCTGCACTCATTCACTCACTGCTCTATCTACAATGAGGACTGCACTGAGGCATGGTGGTGGAAAGAGGGCAGGATCTGGAGTTGGGCCTGATTTCAAATCCTGACTCTGACACTGAAGTGGCTGCATGCACACCAGTTTCCCCATCAGCACAATGGGCTTGACAGTTCCCCAGGTCTCAAAGACTGCCACGAGAATTCTGAGATGATTTTGTCAAGAGTCCTAACACTGGTCTCCAGGAATGGGAGAGCCTGGCCCTTTCCTCTGCAGCACTTTGCGTGGGAATTCCGGTTTCTGGGCCAGCAGGCAGTATGGTGATTAAGGTGCTGGACTCCCACATGGCCAACCACAGTTTGAGTTCTGGACTGAGTGGGCTTGCTTTCTCACTTTCTCTCTCTCACTCTCTATAGACAAATTAAAAAATAAGGGACCAGCAGATGGCGAAATGGTTACATCACTGGAATGACACATGGCTAAGCGCAGTTCAAGCCCTGGGCCCAGAGACTTGAAACTCACACTGAACCCATGTGTGTGTGTGCGCCCAAAATCCTGAGAGAAGAATGGAGAAGGAGGAATTGTGGCATGGCATCTCCTCTGGGGGGTGATTTCTGCCTTTCTGTCTCTCTGTCGAGTGCACATGCCCTAAAGCAAAAATCTCTCCAAACATAATAATAGTAATAAATTAAATTAATAAATCTTAAAAAAAAAAAAAGGGGGGGGACACTAGGTGGCATGGGGGTTAAGGGCACTGGACTCTCACATGGCCAACAGATCGAGTCCGGGATCTGGCGGCTTTCTCTCTCTGTCTTTCTCTCGTCGCATTACAATAAGTAAATAAATAAGTAAAATAATTCTTAAAAAAAAAAAAAAAAGACATAGTTTCTACACACCCTGTCCTCACCATCCTCCTCCTCAGACAATTACAAGGTAGATGGTGATACAAGACAACAGAGACCCAGAAGTGGAAAGTAACACAAATGCCCCCAACTTCCATACACCACCTACCACGACCTGGGACAGGTGCAACAGGTTAGGGGACAAACCAGAAGCACTGCCTCAGTCGCTAAGCACCGTCTACTGGCATGGAGCCCTGCATAAGGCAGGGGAGACCTTTCCTGCAGTCTCTTAGCTTCGTAAAGAACACTTATTACATCACGAAGGAGCAGGCCCAGGAAGGGCAGGTGACTCTGGCTGCTGGGGTCTGGTAAGGGAAGGGATGTGCTGTGAAACCTTGAAGGCTAGGCCAGCAGACTGGGTGGTACAGACAGCCCTCAGGAAGAAGACTTCATAGCAGAGATGTGGACTGACAGCAGGCAGAGAAGGTGGCCTGCACCCAAAGAACTGAGCTTTCCTGAGGTTGTTAGTGGACTAATCAAAACCAACCACTCAGGCATTCCCAACCTGGAAAATCATCCTGTCCAGGGAAAGAAGGGAGGAGGCATGTGCACGTGTCTCCCGGAAACACTCACTTGAAATGGTCCTGCAATGCAACATTGAAGTCAAAGGCATCGCCTCGATCCACAAAGCCAATTCCAATAAATGCCCGGCGCCCTGAGAGATGACACATGATCAATCCCACTGTCCAGAAGTAGGGAAAACCGTCCTTAAGAGAAGCAAGCACACGGATCCATGCGTACCATTTCCATCTTCAATGCGGATGACGAAGTACCTGCTGGAATCTGTCACACTCTCCACAGCTGTGCCGGGAAACTGATCCACTGGTGCCTGAGCAAAGAGCTCTCCTGAAAGCGTAAGTTAGGGTGAGTCTTGAGTCCTCCTTCAGCCTGGTGTTTCTATCATACCTCCAGGGCCTCTTTCCCGCAAAGCAACTCTGGCTAGCTCAGACAGATGGGACTAAACCAAATCCATTCTTGCTGAAGGGAAGGCATAGAATTTTTTTTTCCTTTTTTTTGAGAGGTTTTTGCTATAGGGCATGTGCACTTGCCAGTAAGACAGAGAGAGACAGAAAGACAGAAAGTGAGAAATCATCCCCCAGTGGGACGGCCACAGTGCAATCCCTTCTCCTCCATTCTCTTCTTGGAATCTTGGACACGCAGGCACACGCACCTGGCCTGAGTTTAAACCACCAGGTCCAGAACTTGAACCACAGTTGACTACATGGGAGTCTAGCGACATAGCCATTATGCCAACTGCTGGTTCCAGAAATTTTTAAGAATTATTTTATTCAACTTCATATATTTATTTCAATTTGACTAGAGAGAAAGAGAGAGAGAGAGAAAGTGAGAAAGCAAGCCGCCAGGTCTGAGACTCAAACCGTGATCAGCCATGTGGGAGTCCAGTGCCCCCAACCACTGCACCACCTGCCAGCCCCAGGAAGACAAAGAAATCAGCAGATGGCATAATGGTTATGTCACTGGACT